ATTATTTTAATTTAATAATATAATTTTATATAATTTATATATAACATTATATATATAATTTATATTATATACAATTATTGTATAATTATAATAATATAATAATTTATTGTATAATTATATTATTTCTCTATTCTAATCAGTTCTTTTGCTTGTTGTTCGTCTAAAAAAATAATTTTTAAATTATTGTAATATTAAAAAAAAAGAAAGTTACTTACATTTTGAATTTGATCCAAAAGAAAAAAAAATTCGTTGTATTTACTATTAAAAAAGAATAATTATTCGATAAAGAAAAAGAGGAGAGATTATATGATTCGGGGTGAAACGGGAGAAAAGAGAAATTCGAAGAATAGAGTCGAAAAACGAAACTCCATCACGATGAATGGGGTAAAATAAGTTAACCATCCGATCTGCCAATAGGAGGCTGAGTAATCCGTCTTAGCTGCTCGTTCCAACGGAACCTGCCAGCTGTGCTTTCAACCTCGACTGGCAAATGTATGTACATAGAGATACACAGCCTGCTTTTCTTTTTTTTTTATCTCCAGAATCTTTTCCTGTCGAGAAGTTTCCGAGTCGGCCGCAAGCTGCTGCCAATGGAGCTACGAAGTCGTTTCACCCTCGACTAATATATTTTTACACTTCGAAACTATATTATATATATATGTTCGTTGATTGAAAAATATAAGAATCATCGTTGAATACAATTTTTCTCAATTTTTCTGGAATATAGGAAACGTAGAAAAAAATTAAGATGAAGTTGAGAGATATTTTATTATTTAATTTATATACTTTGTTCTTCTAGAGGAGGCGATTTTTTCGAAGAGAGTGTACGCTTAATGGTTGGTTACGTGGCTTGATCTGAATTATGAACGTTAGACTACATACTTTAGCTTGGGTTAAGAAGATAGATGGCGCGTATATTTCATAACGGTAGACACAATGATGGAAGTGCTTTAACAATATTATCCGTACACAACCGAAAACAGTTTAAAAAATGTTTAATATCTATCGAGAAGAAATTCACTCTCGACGATATTCTTAAATACTCGCTATAAAATATACATATTTATCTCTCTTTGTCGCCGATCAAATTCCTCGCACGATAAGAGAAACTTACATTCGCGAAAAGATTCAAATCTTTCTAATTCTTGCTAATTCAAACACATCCGAATGATCGACACACACAACAGGTATATTATTATATATCATAAAATATTAAATTAAACTCCTATTGCGAAATCTCATCGTCGAAACACGCAATATGTTCTACTCAATTTAAATATTTCACATCGTAAAAAAGAAAAAGAAAAAAAAATTCTACCAATTTTCATATCCCCTAATTTGTCTAAATTCGAATGGCCAACATCGAACTAAATCTTCCCCTATTATCGCAGAATCGAAACTCGATCTAAAACCCATCCCCAAACATCTCACCTCATCGGCGTCATCTTCGCCTTTCACCGCCCCCGCAGTTTAGTCGAACGCATCCTGTTCCAAACTACCCCTTGGGCATTATCACGAGGCAACGGCACGAACGACCGATGATAAGGCGTCCAGACGCAATAACCAACCCCTACTCGTTCCTCCCCCATCCTCCCTCCAAACGCGAACTTCCGGCCGCGGATGACCTGGTCGAGGCAAGTTTAACGACAGTAATTGCACAGCTCGAGCAAATTGTAAACTCGCTAGTTCTCGACGAGGATTTTCGATCGAAATGTATGCAAACCATCGCCACGAGGACCACCGCCGACCAACTCCCCTTTTCCTTTCCAATTCTCGACCTATTCTCCCCTCGTGTCATCGCGGTAACAGCAGTTACCCCCTCCCCCAGCGTGTTATATTGAATTTCAAACAGGACTCGATGCGGTAAATAAAGTCTCTCCAACATCCCTCGATGCGAAATCGTAAAATTTCGTGGAAAATTGTTTTGGCCGCGGTATCAATAGCTTTGTTTTTAAAGGAGAGAATGGAAAAAATTTTCACAAGACGAAACGTGGAAGTATTTCTTGGTTTCCTCGGAAGATGCTTGTGTAGCTTTCTTTGTTTAGTCTTGAATTCGTTTTATTCGCCGAGAGAGAGAGAGAGAGAGAAAGAGAGATAGGTCTACTGGAGATGTTGATTTTTGAACGATTTGTCAAAGAAACGAAAAGAAAGAAAAAACTTATGCGTAAATATCGAAGATTCGAAAAGCGAGGAAACGAGGAGAACGAAGGAAAGTAGCTGGGATTATACGCGAGTCGATTGGAATCGGAAAAATTCTTGTGAAAATAGGATTTAAAGTGTGTGTCTCTCGCTTCGTTAATAATCGCAACAAAGCGGATGATATTTAATCAAGATGTTTGGCATTCGCCTCATTTGATAAACAAACTGAAATAAAGGGGGGAAAAAATGAGAATTATCGTCGATACAAGATCGGGAATATTGAATGTAAACGAAGCATAAATCATATTAATTTTATTCGTGTATAATTTCCTGTGCATCGTTACACAATATACGCCCCAAAACGCTACAAGGCGTTTAAATGTGTTTCCCGTCCAGGGATAAAACATCCAGCTTCTACATTTCGCGTTTACATCGGTAAATTTCAAATTTTCAAGCATAATTTCACGCTCGTTGTCCGAGAGAATTGTTTCCTCATCAATACGACGCATAATTATTAAGAATAATAAAGCGCAAATAATTGCTTTTAACGGCTTGTAACTTTCGCATCGAATGAATTAATACGTATTTGATATTCGCGCGCAATCTATAAAGAAGATTCTGGTTCGATACTTAATCGATAATTGTGTTGTTTCAGCATAACGCATAACCGTACATAGAACATATCTTATCTAATATCAAATTGAAATTCGTTACGTCGATTAATTTATCTTCTACACAATCTTATTTTCGTTTGCGCCGTTATAAATATAAATAAAAAAATATAAATTAATCATTTCTTCGATTAATAAGAATAAGAAGATACGAAAGGAGAATTTCTATGAATAAAATTTTTTATCGATAAAATTTCTGGATCAAAGGTGGATCGATGCATATTTTTCAGGACAAAACTGATAGTAACATTGCGCGCATTTTAATTAGGAAGAGAAAAATGTTCGAATCGTGGAAAATGATTGAACCAGTTGCGACGATTTAACGAAGCTCGCAAGTCCTTTATATTTTTTAATTAAATCCAGGGCTCAAAAGCGGATCTTGCAATCGCTTTCTATATATTCGAGTTAATCGGCACGGGAGAAAATTTGATCTGAAATTCGCGTGAAATTTATATGTAATATAATATTCGTATTATCCCCTGTTATAATATAAAATAAATCGGTTCTATCTTAAAGCAATGAACTCTCTCTTAATGATGCTCATAGCAATATTTATACGTTTAGATGGATTCTATAATCAATATGGAAATATGACAAGCTGATTGTAATGATATAATTTTATAAAATTATAGAATTTATATTGAATATCTATTTTAGAAATTTATTCAAATTTGATGATAACTCATCAAGAATTAAATTATTGAATGAATACTTCTTCTTTTAACCTCTTAGTTAAAATACTTACTTAGATTTAATTTAAATTCTTTTTTATATAAACTCTTCGTTACCGAAGCTCTTCTAACAGATAGAATTATTTACTGAAATTATGAATTAAAAAAATGAAAAAAACAAAAAAGAAATCTCTCCACTGTTAAAACGATATATCAAATAATCAAAAATTCGAGAACGCATTAAGAAAAAAATTTCAGTACCATAAATTACCCAAGAAGTAAAAAACGAAACGTTGCCTTAATAAGTTTGCTCTTAATAGCTCTTTAATTAATCAAACGCGAGCACGAAAAGTCGCGTCCACGTGGCCACGTGGAATATCCTCTGAAAATTCACGCCCACGAAACACAGCCGCAAAAAAGAGGATCGAGGCACCGCGCATTACTACGCTTCTTTCTCCGTGTTCCGTTTCCTGTGGGCGCAGATTTACGCGTGGCGGAACAACATGCGCAAGTTTTCGAGCTTGGTTTATCCTTGTCACAAAGCCGACCTCACCGGTATCGCAGGATAAATAATTCGCGAGAATTATAAAAGATTAAGGTTTTCAGACGCGATCCGTTAGAGCGATAAACACCGGGCGACGTACGCGTTCAAAATAAGAAAAGAAGAGGAAAAAAAAAAAAAAAAAAAGTGTGTGTACGCGTGTCCACATATTTCACGAAAATGTGACGAGAGAAGTCTTAGCTTAGTCGCTATCTCGCGCGAGATTCCCTTCCTTTTGTGCCCGAACTTTAGACGAGTTTTAATATCGCGACTCGTGGGAAAGGCTAGCCTTTTTTTTTTTTTTTTTCTTTTGCTTTCACACTCGGCATTACGACTCTTTTCGCGTGACGCTACAGGAAAAATTACTCCTCCATTTCGTCTTATCGCGAGAGGATGCTTTGCTGGAGCTGTTAAGTCTTCGCGAAGCTGCACGACGATTATATTCTTTATAATTCGCTGTATTTTCTACGACGATTTTCAGAGGAAATTAATTCTGATGCGAGGGAAACTTTCGTTAAGGGTGATTCGAATGTTGAAATTAGTGAAAAATTTGAAAAATTTTTATTTATTTAGGAGCTGATTAGAATGATAAGTATAGTGGATATTATAAATGTTTAATATCAAATATTATTTGTACAAATGTTAAATGTTGAACGTAATGATATCTGTTAAAAAGTTTGGAAAAGATCTCAATGTTCGTTACTTGATCTTGCTATTAAAATCTCGCCGTTCGAAATTTCTAATGAAAATTATCGAAGCATGTCGAAGCGACCTTAAAACACACCGCTGATGACGTATTCAGTTTCAGTGAAAGATTTCCGATTTCGTTGCTAAAACCATGTTACTGAATGCATTAAGTAATGAAAATGTACTTGGAAGTTATAAATCGCAAGCAATCCAATGATCACGTATATTTATAATCAGACACGTAGCCAAAGCAATATATCGTGCACTAATAGTCACGATAAATCTTAGTCAGACTCGAAGTCAATTTTTAAATTAAATTCGGTGTAAATATGTATTTTATATTCGCGTGATTTTAATAGTAAAAGCCAAAAATCCCCAGCAGCTTGAAATTTGTATTTTTACAAATTCTTACGGATTACAAAAATGCATAAATATTATGCGACGAAGAAAACATTTTTATAAAGAATTGGTCGACTTTTTTAAAATTCTAAAGTTGAAGATACGTGACAATTAAAAAAAAAAATTACCAATCCCATTACGATTTTAAACAAATTGAAAAACTAAATCGAAAATTTCACGAATAACGTATTTCTTTTCAATTATATTACCCACGTCGATCTATTGCGAAACTGTCTATGAAAAAAGTCAATCTAACACACCGATTGAAATTCATACACCAATTCAAATAAAAATTCGCGATCACTCGAAGCGAGACAAATTCAATTCAAGGTTGTCGCACGGTGGCTGACCATCGAGCAACAAAAAAGTCACAACTTTCGAAGCCCTCTGCTCCTCTTAAAATTCAACGGAGGGGGAACGATCGAAAAGAGAGGCGTAGGTCGATCGAATACCGACGATACTTTGACCCACGGTGGATCTCGGTAATTCGCCTTTCTCGCGTCTTTCTCGAATGGAACGCTGCTCTCGCGCTGTTCTCGAGAAGGTGGAGAGGAGAGGAGAGAGGAAAAGGGCGAAAACGTGAAAACGAAAACGGGCTCGTGTGATTCGAGGCACGTATCGCGGTGTACGTAGGTATAGAGAAAGGGTCGCGTCGAAACGAGGTCGTGAAACGCTTTTTTACCCGCGACACGAGGCGGCGTCACGTGCCGTGTCACATCCGGTCGAATCTCAATGGGGCACGGTCGACCGATGATGAAAGAAGAAAGTCTCGAAAGCGGAACTCGCGCGTCGCGAGCAACGCGAGCAATATTTTTCGAGCGAGTCGTGCAAATGTGTTCGTTTGCGTTTTGATTTCAGCTGGAGGAAGGAAATTATTCGCGGATGCGATGTTTAAAGCGTATATAACGTTTGTTTCGTCGTTTAGAGCGGATGGATATTATTTATAACGATATGACGTTCAAAGTTGTTCACAATACGCACTTGCGTTTTAATTTCGGATCGAATGGAAAATTATTCGCGTGGTTTTCGATGGTGTGGATCAAGTTACATATGTAACGTTTGTATTTTAATTTTAAATAATGGAAATTAATTGTGATTTTGAAGTTGCGTAGATTTGTTTGATAATCCTATCATCATGTTTCTAGTTTCACCTATTTTTCTTTTTACGTTAATTGAAAAGTTGTACGCGTTGGATTTTATCTATTTCCTTTTTTCTCTTCTTTATAAGGATCTCGCATAAATTGGAGGGAAAGAAGAATCCTCGTATTAGCCGCCCTCGTTGACTGATACGGTTTTAGTGGCAATTTCGCGCGACGAGCGATCCTCGATACTGAAATTTATAGTTCTGGACGAACTCGTTCGGTGATCCGAACGAATTCAGGATTTACGATCGGTCTCGAAGGAAATGTGTTTGCTCTTGGGGGAACCACGAAAAGAGAGTGCAAACTTTCGTTTCAATTTGGTATAAAATAATTTTATGTATATAATATATAGTGAATCTGTATGTGAATCTATACTTTTACGACAAAACGTATAGATAAAATGAACCGTGTATCGAGTGTGGTATATCGATATATTTATTGTTAACATTAAAGTTGAAAATTGAAAACTTTTGAAAATAAACCGATGATACGCATTTTCGATAACTGTTAGCATCCGTGGACAAAAATAGTTCCATTCTTTTTGCGTTCTTCGAAACACGGTTAAATTTGTTGTCCATCTTCGTATTAATCATTGGAATGCTGATCCTACAACACCGAGATATGCACACAATATAATCGTAAATTTTCGTAACTGAGATACTGGATGGAAACTGGGGCTCGAATAATCGAACAAACTACTGTAACTCTGATTTATCGGTCTAACTTGGCTTTCATTCTATCCCAATAATTAATCTTCTATTCCTCTTTGTACTGCTTGTACGTTACTGACTACTTAATGTCGTTCGTGTTTTTTTCAGCTTGTTGAACAAAATTAAACGAAACTCCAATCTTTCATCGATCATTCTTTTCCATCTTCGATTTATAAAAGATTGTAAATCGACGTTTTTATTAGCAAATTAGTCTATCAACATCTCTTGAAATCAATTACAATTGTGTTATAAATCTTTTTTTTTATATTAAAAATTGTCTATCGGTTTTAAATCAGAGTTTGAAATCGATTTATTATTATTTCATTTCAATCAGAAGAAAGAAATTTCATTCCTTGAAAAGTAGCCTTTACCCCCGCAACACCAAGAATTCGAATAAATACTCGTGTTTTGGGTGGAAAATATTCCACGCGCTCGAAATTCGCGCCAAGAAGGCAGTGATGGCGTCACATAAATCGCGATCAAAAATATCTCCTTTTGTAGGAGAATTCTTCAATGCGATTTATCTTGGGAAGATGTTGTAAAGAAGCTCGTTTCTATTCTTTCTCTATTTTTACAGTTTCTTGAATTTATGCGACAGCAAAGATTTAGATGTAGTTTTATGTAGCGAAATTTGTAGCGATATTTTGTTCCAAGTAAGAGAAGTATGTAATGAAGTCCAATTGTGATAGTAAAACGTGATAAAATTCTTATTGTTTTTTTTTTTTTTTGCAATATTTCTTGCATTATTGAAATAAAAATTTAATATTCTTTCAGATTTTTTTCTAACTCCAGTTTCATTAGAATCAATTTCTTAACTGAAAGGAGTAAATTTGTACCATAAATTTGAAATGAGAAAGTGTCAGCAATCACATAATACGTGAACGTAATAAGAACTTTGATAATATTTCTTACATTCACCATTGAAAAGCTTCCCAATAGATTCCAATCTCAATGGCCATTGATTCCAACATGTGGATAATGAATCCTGATTTTCAACCTAGCATTCTACGGTCAAACTAGATCAGATAAAATTGCTTTATCGAGAAATCTATTGTTAAACTGTTGATAAAATCACTAATAAATTGAATATTGTAACAACATTTTTCTTAATAATGGACTTATTAATAAGTACGACATATTTTCAGATATTAAAATTAAAAAAAAATAAAAATCCTATTAATTCCACTTTAAGACAGTTATTGTTGTGCTATTTATTAGAACGGGAAATGAAATTGAAACGGAAAATCGTTCTCTTCCAATGAGGATTCTTTTAACGATGTAACAAATATTTCAGACAAAAGTTTGATCTCTGAAAATAATCCATTTCTGGCTCGTCATTAGCGAGTATCAACTCGAGAAACGACGAGGAAAATAAAATTGTGAACGCGACATTAACTTGCCAGCTTCCTCTAACGAGATCGTCCTTCATTTTGCTCGTTGCTCGAGTTTCTTTCAATCGTTTCAAGAAGAGGAAACAATACACTGAAACGAGCGAGGGAGATCGTTCTTAACCGAGGAAAAATATTTAAGAACTTTTTCAATCGTAATCTTTTTATTATTTGCTATGTCGACAATAACAACAAATCAAATAAAATGAAAAAAAATAGATAAAAAAAACAAATGAAACGAAATAAAACGCGAAAAACAGAATTTAATTGGAGGAGAATCGTTATGTTTGAAAGCGAAGCATGACTCGCTTCGATTAATGAATATTAATCAGAACAGAAGAGTCTACACGTCCATGATTCCAACCATGTCGTGGAATATCGATAAAAAAATTTTACACATCGAACATTGAAATCGGTAAATACTTTCTCACGACAAGATTTAAAAATAAAAAAATTTCATAAATTTTTGTAATTGATACATTCTTTACATATTCATCTTCTCGTATGTAATACTTGTTACGTTATATTATGAAAATCGTATCTTTCCTTTTCATAAAATAATAATTCCTAGTACGATCATCATGATCAAATAAATCTAATAAAAATATAATAAAAACGAAATTATCAATTACAATCGCACGCAAATGAAATAAAAATGAAAATAGACAATCCAAAGAGTTAAACTTTTTTTTTATCAAAGCATATTCAAAATTTGCAACAATGAAATACGAAATTAAAAAGAAAAAAAATATGATGACTTGTTATGTTATATTATGAAAATCGTATCTTTCCTTTTCATAAAATAATAATTCCTAGTACGATCATCATGATCAAATAAATCTAATAAAAATATAATAAAAACAAAATTATCAATTACAATCGCACGCAAATTAAATAAAAATAAAAATAGACAATCCAAAGAGTTGAACTTTTTTTTTTTATCAAAGCATATTCAAAATTCGCAACAATGAAATACGAAATTAAAAAGAAAAAAAATATGATATTTTTGTTGAGCTATATTTATTAATGGAATATCGTTTGGCAGAAAAATATTTCCACCCAAAAGGGGTGAAAAGCTCGGGCTAGGGTAATGGTAATCCGAGTTTAACGAGAGAAACGATATTTAATCGACTAACGTTCAGTGACACTCGCTTCGATGGCCGGAGAGTTTATA